GTAGGGCCTCGCTATTGTTCACATTCGTGTATAGAGAAACCGCGTCGAAGCTTGCGTAGAAGGCATCATCAGGTATCCTAGCGTGTCCAAGGCTGATATGGATTCTCCTACATACGTTGACTAAATGAGCCGCTACGTACTGAATAGTGGTAATAGGAGCTTTGTGAAAGACCAGCTGACTCTATGCGATGGTCCACAGCATGAAGATATTATATCATTGGTCCAGTCTTGATCAAGTTCTCATTGATGTGTCATGAACTTCTGTCATACACTTCTTCGGGGAAACTTGTGCGTTTTAACAATGCGTAGTACATATGTCAGGAGATAGCGTTCAACAGTTTGCATCCATGATCTTGCCTTGAGTTTGCGCTGTGGTGCCTCGGAGTTCATTAGACACCTTCTCAAATTCTCGAAACGATGACATTTCGTACGTGTTGCTGTCAGAGAGGCATCGACGACCGAGACTTTTGTCCATTTCTTGTGTGAGTACAACAAAATCTCCGCCTTTGTCACCCACAGATTATCGAATTTCACCTTTGGAGAACAAAATCTTCTTTAAACCGGGTGTCTCGCTTTCCGCATTTGTCACTAGTGGAGTATCCAAGTCTATCTTTGAAGAACAAAAGCTTCTCTTAACCGTTTTCTTGTGTTGCAAAACTTAGCGAGTTGCTGTGAATAGTCTAGTCAGTACGTTTGTGTGGCTTCAGCTGCAGAGAATTACAGTACGCATGCTAAAACTTGATTAAATCAGGTCTGAAGAAGCTGTTAGTACAGCGAAAGCTAGCCAATAAAGATATTTGCACGAGTCCTCATCACTACTTTTCTAGAGGAAGATCTATGCATAAATGAGGCTCAGGGATTGCTCGACTCTCTCATTAGTGACTTCATTCACAAGCTTGTCGCCCATATCAGTCATACTTTCTCCATTGTCTCGCGAAGCTGAGCGGCCCGTCCTGGTAGAATTAACGTGAGTTAACCGTTGTTCGTAATTCTGCTCTATTGTAGTCGCACGGGGGAGTTGTAACGTTCAGTAGGAGTAGGTCAACTCCGCCATTGCGGTAACATTGCAAGACGTTTCGATATGCTTGGCGAAGGGCTATGCAACCCTTCCGCTGTTAAAAAATTCTTGATGCTACAGAAACGACGAATACATATAATATTGCTGAATTGAGGAGATCGGGTTTCAGCCTTGTGACGGATGCCCCGATTCTGAATTCGGTCTTCTCACCCAAAAACAAAACTTACATTGGCACATGGAACGTTCGTACACTGAACAGAACTGGCAACCTCGCGCAACTACTTCGTGAATTTGACAACTATCGACTCGATATATTGGGAATAAGTGAAGTTCGCTGGAAGGGTAATGGCAGAATAAACAGTGACAACAGAACGATCCTGTATTCCGGCCACGAAGACAAACACGAAGGAGGAGTCGGTTTTGTCCTGAACAAAAAGGCAACCAACGCTCTTAACGGATGGAAACCAATAAATGAAAGGATAATTACAGCTCGATTCGTGACAAGACATACTCGAATTACGATCATACAGGTGTATGCACCAACAGAAGCTGCAGACGAAGAAGTGAAAAATGATTTCTACGAGCAACTCCAAGAAACCATCGATGAATCACCGCGAAGAGATCTGAAGATAATAATTGGAGATTTCAATGCTCAGCTTGGCAATGACAGAAGCGCATTTGAGAAAACGATCGGACCTTTCACATCTGCTGAGCATTTCAGTAACAATGGCGAAAGACTAGCTTCCTTTTGTGATTACAATGAACTCTGCATAGGAAACACATACTTCCAACACAAAAGGATACACAAGAAACTTGGAGGTCACCTGATGGTGTAACTTTCAATGAAATCGACCATATTTGCATCAGTCGCAGATGGAGAACCTCTCTTCAAGACGCTCGCACATTCAGAGGAGCAGACATAGGTTCAGATCACTATTTGATGAAAGCTGTGATCAAGCTAAAACTGAAACAGCAGACAAAGAAACAGGTCAATCGCACATTCGCTGTGGATAGGTTAAGAGATCCAGCCGTTGCAGACAGGTTCAAGGTTGAATTACGCAATCGTTCGAACCCCTTAGAGATGTGAGGAATATCGGCGTATCTATTGATAAGTCAGTGAGTGCGAAATGTACATACTGAAAGATCTATTATATTCTCAAACATGCGCAGAACATGATTGTATTGGTCCGCAAACGTTTGGCAAAAAAAAGGAACACGTCTTCCAAATTCGACATTGCTCTTCTCATTGAAATTTAGTATTTTAACGGGAACAGCTGTGTGTTGAAAGCAAGATGGAGACAAGCAGACACAAAGAGAAAGCAGAAGCATCAGCCTTAAAATTATTATGGATTCCAGAGTAACATTCCGTTTTCAAGAGTCGTGTCGTCGGTGATGAAATAGTAGTATCTCCTACAAAAAGGAATTGAAGCTCACGACAAGCATGCAATCCGTTGACACGATAACCCTTGAGCGCATTGGGATAGATCGCGACCATTGTAGGCGCCATTAACTTGCATAGGTCAAATGTTCCTATTCGAGATAAAAATGGAAAACTTCTGCTAAGTGATGAAGAACAAAACGATAGGTGGCTCGAGCACTTTCAAAACGTGCTAAACCAACCCAGTCCAACAAAGACCTATTGTTTCGATGAGATAGATTCAGCAGAAGAGCTCGACGTGAACACTGGAGACATAACTACTGAAGAAACGGATGAAGCACTCAAATGCCTTCGTAACAAGAAAGCTCCAGGATTGGATGGCATTCAAGCAGAGTTATTGAAAGCGGGTGGTGAAACAATGATCGAAGCATTAACTAACTTGTTCAACCGGTGCTGGAGTCAAGAAGAGACCGAGTCCAGAGATTGGAGAAAGGAGTTATTGTACTGAGATGTCCCGAAAAAAGGTTGATATTTTGTCCTCGTAAATGCGAATCGTGCACTCTTGCTTCGAGGCAGGTCGCAGGCACGTCTGCTCTTCGCAGTACCGGGGAAAACGTTTTGCTTGATACTTCTACGAAGACTTCAAAGCGCCATCGACACGTGTTTACGAGAAGAACAAGCAGGATTTAGGAGTGGAAGATCATGTTGTGAGCAAATCTTCACTCTCCGTAATATTGTTGAACAACAGTGCATTAAACTACATCATCCCTCTTCATTCAACTTTCAGTTCATTTGAAAAGGGCATTCTCGATGAGCACTCCATGTGAAATTCACTGTGGAGAAATATTTCTTAGAATATACGGTATCACCGCGGCCGCTCCAGGCAGAGCTTTTTAGCTAGTCAAGAAGTTATTACCCCTGTTAACTCCTCGCTGTTGCGATATTGGCAATGACAAATAATGGCCACACAAACTTCTTTGAAATCACCACAGGAGTACGACAGGGATGTATTTTGTCTCCATTGTTGTTCAATATATGTCTGGACTTTATCATGCGAAAAGCGATGAGACGAACAGAAACAGGATTGAGCTGGTCTAACGGGGAACGCTTGTCAGACTTGGATTTTGCGGACGACATTGCGCTTCTTGCGCAAGAAGAACGTGAGCTTCAAGAAGCAACTACGAGCCTGAACAGTGAAGCAACAATGATCGGCTTGCGCATCAGCGCCGAAAAATCGAAAGTCATGAACATTGGCCCCAATGATGTGCAAACGGTCATCAATGTTGATGCAAAACAATTGGAGACTGTGGGAAAATTCACTTATCTTGGAAGTGTAGTTGCTTGTGATGGAGATGCAGAAACAGATGCACGGATACGAATAGCAAAAGCAGCAACTGTATTTCAACGACTTCAGCCAGTATGGGCAATGACTTCCATTTCACACAACATCAAGATACGCCTATACCAATCAATCGTGATTTCCACCGCGTTGTATGCAAGTGAGACATGGAAAATAACTGCTGGACTCGTTAAGAAAATAAATGCCTTTCATCAGCGTTGCCTTCGCCGAATCATGAAAATACGGTATACAGCCCACATCACTAATCAGGAAGTCCTGAGCCGCACAGGTATGAGCAGCCTCCACGTGGTTGTGGCACGGCGCAGACTCCGACTGGCTGGACATATTCTACGTATGCCTCAACATCGTATTCCACGAAGGGCCATGTACTGGATTCCTCCAGGAGCCAGAAGAGCAAGAGGCCGTCCCAGAAACACGTGGAGACGAACATTCGATAATGATCTAAAGATCATGGATGTTTCTAGGGACGAAGGTGAAATACTTGCGCAAAATCGTCAGCAATGGAAAGAATTCGTCGCCCGATGTGCTCAACAGCACGGGAGGAACTAAGTCTAAGTAAGTAATAAGTAGGTCAGCTGTGAGCGGGATGGCAACATTGCAAGACGTTTCGATATGCTTTCAGGCCTTTGATAACGACGAAATTGACGAAACGTCAGGCATAATACACATTCCATCATAAAAAACCTGTATGGTACAGCAATAACGAGAACGCTCATTTTAGTCTTATCAGTTGTTGTCACTTCGCCCATCAAATATGTTTCCGTCTCACCTCTACGTTATATCCGAAGGACAACACCTCACTGCTCCCGGGCCGTGTGCTGCGAGTTTCGCGACAACTGTGTTCTGGCGCTCCTTATCAGCTGTTATCGCTTTCTGCCACCCACCAAATGTGTTCCTGTCCTACCCCCTACGTTATATAAAGAAAAACCGCCTTACTGTACTGGTTGCTAGTATGAATTCTGTGTGTCCGTCCGCAAAATGAAGTGAGTGAGAAGGAAGCTCATGGGATAAACAAACCGCTAACAAATCGGGTAGCTTACAGGATTTGAGATATCAATGTTTTGTAGCAGGATAGTTGTGATAACACTCTTAGGGCTATATAAACACCTGCTTAGCACACTTCCGTTCATTCCACATGGTGCTGCAGTGGCAGCTGGAGGGCAGTGGAGAGAGGAAGGGAGGATGAGGAAGGGAAGCGAAAAATCTACCGTCATATCATGATTGTGTCCCTTCTACTGTATGAAACACCATTGTGTTGCATACGCGTCACTTCCAGGAGGTGTTGGTGTCACAGGAGGAAGGGACCATAGCGGAGGATAGAAAGCTTGCGCAGGAAAGGAAGGTCCCGGCGGTTGACGGGGGACTAATCTGGTATACAAATTATATATAGTAGGATATTCTTGATGTTATTTATAAGCTTTCAATGATAACGACTGATAAGATCCGATAAGAGGCGCCAGAACGCCAATTCCACGATATCCATAGCGCGCGTCCCAGCATCAGTGAGGCGTTGGTTCCAAGAAGTGATGTAGGGGGTGGGACGGGAACATATATGGTGGGGAAAGAAAGCGATAACGGCTGATAAGGGCCGATAATAACGATATGCGCAAGAATATGGTCACTCAAAACCAGACTTTAGATAAAGCATTTCATTTCAATATTCTTTCATTTGCGTTGTTATCATCAGCCCGAAATACCACTAAACCGCTATGCCCCCCAGAGTTCCTAAAAATGTATGGTGTAAGTTCGGAAAATAATATATTTTTTATGGGTTT